GATTTGCTAGAATTTTGTTGAGTATTTTGGCATCTATGTTCATGAGGGATATTGGCCTGTAATTCTCTTTCAATGTGTTGTCTTTACCTGGTTTTGGTATTAGGGTGATGCTGGCTTCATAGAATGATCTTGGAAGTGTTCCTTCCTCTTGAATTTTTTGTAGTAGTCTGAGGAGGATAGGTTTTAGTTCTTCCTTGAATGTTTGGTAAAACTCCCCTGTGAAGCTGTCCGATCCAGGGCTTTTGTTTGCTTGAAGCTTTTTGATGACTGCTTCAATTTCTTCCATAGTTATTGGCCTATTGAGATTTTTCGATTCTTCCTGATTGAGTTTCGGAAGGTTGTATTTTTCTAGGAATATGTCCATTTCCTCAAGGTTGTCTAGTTTGTTGGAGTAGAGTTATCCATAGTATTTTTTAACAATCATTTGTATTTCTGTGGGGTCTGTTGTTATTTCACCTCTATCGTTTCTGATTTTGTTTATTTGCGTCCTCTCTCTTTGCTTCTTGGCGAGCCTGGCTAGAGGTTCATCAATCTTGTTTATCCTTTCAAAGAACCAGCTCTTGGTTTCATTGATTTTATGTATTGTTTTTTTGGTCTCTATGTCATTTATTTCTGCTCTAATCTTTATTATCTCCTTCCTTCTGCTCACTCTGGGCTTTTCTTGTTGCTCTCTTTCTAATTCTTTGAGATGTAGAGTTAGATGATTTACTATCATTTTTTCTTGTTTTTTGAGATAGGCCTGTAGAGCTATAAACTTCCCTCTCAGGACTGCTTTCATTGTGTCCCATAGGTTTTGGATTGTTGTGTTTTCATTGTCATTAGTTTCCAGGGTGTTTTTGATTTCTTCTTTGATCTCATCGGTAACCCAATCAATATTTAATAACATGCTATTCAGCTTCCAAGTGTTTGAGTATCTTGAGTTGTTTTTATTGTAGTTTATTTCTAATATTATGCCCTTGTGGTCTGAGACTCCCTACCGATTGAAAAAGACAACTGTGTCCTCAGCTGCCAGCCCTCTCTGCGTGCACCTCCATACCTCTGTACTTTACTTCCACCCCACAGCTCCTCTGAGTCTCGGTATGCTTTTCTCTTTCCTTCTAGTTCAGGGGTAGGCAAACTTTTTGACTCGAGGGCCACAATGGGTTCTTAAACTGGACTCAGAAGAAGGAGCTGCAGCTGTGTTTCCCGACCTTGCCATGTTAACACTGCTGCTGGTGAAGGAGTGGCGGGGAGAGCAAGAGAACCCACCGTTCTTTCAGCTCCGCGGGCCGGACAGAACAGCCGAACGGGCCGGATCCGGCCCGCGGGCCGTAGTTTGCCCACGGCTGTTCTAGTTGTAGAATTTCCACTCAGCCAGCCTTCCTGTGGTTCTGGATGATGTCCGTTCCGTCTTTTAGTTGTATTCTTGAAGTGGTTGTGCTAAACAGCAATCTCCGGTGTTTACCTGTGCCGCCATCTTGGTTTTTCTCCCCAGTCCTGGTTTCTGCTCTCAGAGTTCCAGTCCACTTCACCCTTCCTCTGCCTGAGCACAAGGTGGGTAGTTCCACAGGGAATTTTGTGCATTGGCCTTTTAACAGGACGCCTGGATTTTCAGCTCTCACTCCCTGGCAGACAGTATCCCATTGCTTTTCACAGCCAGATGTTATGTGGGTACCCTTCTCAGTTTTGGTGCTCTCTGCTGAGTGGCCCAGCTTGCGGATTAGGTCCCAGAGTTCTCAGTGGCAACCCCCCAGAGCTGAGATATGTCTCAGGGACTTTAGTTGCTATCTGTGGGTGCCTGGCCAGCTCTTTCGCACCTTTGCCCCTCCTACCAGTCTCTATGTGGTCTCTACTTCTGGTCCTCAGGTACCAGTGTTCTCCCCGGGGAGTTTTCCATTGATTATTCAGGAAATTTTTCTGTATTTTAGTGTAATTCCAGTTTGTTCCTGGGAGCATGTCCATGCAGCATCCACTTACTCTGCACCATTTTTAATCCTCAGGACCATACTGCAAGCATTTTTAAAATAATGCAATACCTGACTATTTAGTCAGGGGCACTAACCTCTTTTCCCCTTAGGTTGTCAAATAAAGAAATGACAACAGCCAACACAAAAACAGCCATCCAGAGTGAGTGGAATAAAAATTATACCAGTTGTTTTTTTTGTCAAATTGGGCAAAGAATATGTATCTTTTGGTGTGCTGCAGAATTTTAGTAATTAATTCATGTGTGCCATCAGATGAAAATGTTTGAAAAGCGATGCCCTAAACTAACTGGCCTGTGAGAATGGTGGAGTGGAATTTTTGAGACTCAGTTACAGTTAGAGCTCCAGTAATAACACCTTTCAGATAAGGGTGATGTTCTCTATGTCATAGTATTATCATATGAATCAATAACGAGCATATGATGTTATTTTGCCCAGAGCCAACAATTATGATTCTGAGAATCAAGGGGTAGAAATGAAAGTGGCTTCCTCTCAATATTACTTCTAATGATCCACTAGTGAAAATTTTGCTTCCTCTCATACATTTGGGCTCTATGGCTATAAAAATCTTAGCACCATGGAAGGAATGCTTCCACCAAAGTACACACCCATACTTCAGTCTATATGATCTTGTAATTCAGTGAACTTCTTTAAGAGGATCATTCAGACAGTTCAGAGATCTCCATTTCTTTAGTGTCAGTTATTGAAGTTTTATTAGTATCTTTTTGTGGTGCCATATGTTCATAATACATATATTCAGTAAAGGACTTGTATTAAGGATATATAAAAAACTGTTCCAAGTAAATATTGACAATATAGTAGTAGAGGTGATAGAAATTTGGGGTTAGGATATTGGGAGATTAAGTGAAGAAAAGGGTAGGGATATTTATATCTTCATCATATATAAGTTGTCAAATAATGCTATATAGCATGATGGAACAAGAAATATATGTTTAAATATTTTTTAAAGCAGTAAGGTAACAAACAGAAGAACTGAAAAAATAATAATTTATGATACCAGGAGGGGAGATAATAAGTAGGGTTGTAAAAGGTAAGAAATTCTCTATCTTTTCAAATCACTTCTAAAGTTGACAAATAAAAAATAATTATATAAATGTTATATTATATATATGTTATATATATATTACTTATTATATATATGTTACTTAAAAGCATGGCACTAACTACTAGAAGATCCAAAAAACAGTTTAGGTGGTTGCTTTTAGGGATGAAGGTGGAAAACAGTGAAGTGACATAAAAGACTTTTTAGTATGCATCTACATTATTTTATTTATGTTAAAGAAAGACACATTATTTTGATAAAAATATTTAAATGATAGAAAAAAATCTATATTTACATTACTATCACTATGCAAATTATTCTAAGGCCACATAATATGCTAAAACTATGCATCCTTATTTACAAGTCACCCTCTTAGCTACCTGAAGTAGAATGTATCTAGAATGAGGATCAAATGTACTCTCTTTATATCTTAAAACTATTTTCATTTGCATTATACTTGAACCATGACTTTCATGGTTGGCCCTTGTTCAGAGTTTCTAACCACTTTTTAAAAATATATATATATTTTTTTTACTGATTTCAGAGAGGAGGAGAGAGAGAAAAACATCAATGATGAGAGAGAATCAATGATTGGCTGCCTCCTGCACACCCCACACTGGGGATTGAGCCCACATATGCCCTGACTGGGAATTGAAACCTGATCTCCTGGTTTATAAATCAACATTCAACCACTGAGTCAACTGGTACAGACTTTCAGTCAGCCCCCTTGTTTACAGTCATTCTCTTCTAGGCTTTTTAAATTGCTGAATCCTAACCCACATCCTTTCGAGGGTTGCAATGGCAAACTAGCTCTCTCACTGGGGCCCCTTTGAGGTATATCTAGACAAGTCTTATACACAGTTTTGTCCAACAGGATGCTACCACCTGTTTTGGTTTTCCATAAGTGAAATAAAATTTCTTATTTGCTCACGAACTCTCTTCTCTGTGTTATGGGTTAAGTTTCTGTATATTGTTCTTTCAGTGGGGTGTTGGAGGAATAGAAAGTGAAAATGTGTGCTCAGTCTACCACACATATACAAGTTGTTTGTTTATATGCATGTCTTCTCTACTGAAACTCTTTAAGGGCAAGGTTGTATTGTAAAATGCTAGCACAGTGCCAGGAATATAGTTGGCTTTAATAGCATGTGGCTCTTTGGATTTGGATGTAAGATAAAAGAACTTACAAATGACAAAAAAAAACAAACAACCCTTAAGCCTAGATAAGTATGCTGATTGAAATCATCAAAGGAATAGATTTTTAAGAAAAAAATGTATTTTAGTGTTGAAAATTAATAGCTACCCCCAGAATAGGTTTTATGGCTTTGATAGTGGCAATAGAGGAAAAAATGGAAGCTACTTTGCAAAATGTGATTAACTGATACAAGGGTGTTCTTCTGTGCTAGAAACACAGCCATATGATTTCACACAAAATTATCAAGCAGAGAGAGTGCTGCTGCTATCAGAAAGAGAAAAGTGAAGTCATTTTAGCTCTTGGCTCTCACCTAACCAGGGAATCAACTTGGAATATTCCTTACTGGATAAGAAGACCAGCTCTACCCATATTAAAGCATAATAAGGAACTAATACATTAACCCAGGTATGGTGTATTATTGAACTTTAAGTCCTCAAGAGTAGGTATTCAATTAATATTTAATGAGTGAATGTATCCCTAACACCTGTTCACAAACCTGATTCCAGAGTCAATAAATAAGTTTTTAGAGGTGAAAGCCAAATAAGACAATTAGTGATACTTTCATTGATAGTAGCTATTATCAAAGTGCCTGGCCCAGATTAGGAACTCCATAAATATTTGTGAGGCTAATAAGATAATTAACTTTTTGAAACTTTAAAAAACAGTCTGCTTTTAAAGCAACTCTAAATATACTAAAATCTACTGAAATGTACACTTTAAACAGGTGAACCTTATGATATCTAAATTATTTAGCAATAAAGCTGCAAACAAACAAAAAACTCACGAGAAACCTTCTCCAGGCCTTCTGAATGACTCTGGCAGCTTTATCCCTCTTTGCAAATTCAAATTCCTTTTCTTGTACCAAAGACATTTAAAGTCCTAAAAAAAAAAAAAAAAAAAAAAAGCAAATAGATATATTTAAAATTACTTTATATATCCCATTATGAAAATGTCACTAGAACTCAGTGAAAATTAAATAAAGTTGTATGAATGAATGAATAATGCCATATGTTAAATTTATAGTAGCGATATGGTTCTGAGATGCTTTATCATAGTCCAAACTGAGTAAACTGCTATTTTAAGATATACTCTTTCTAGCCAGCAGGTGGAGAAGGCACAATGTGTAGTTTATTTGTGTATTTCAGGATACTTCAGGGGAAAAAAAAAATTCTTCTTTGTAAATAGTGTAATAATCAGTTTTAATAATTTTTAAGGACACTGTCACTGTTTCTATTATTAAGTAAGGTAAATACAAAAGATAGCTTTGACATCTGAGATGTATCATAACTTTAAAAATCATATCAAATTTTATTTTCTGTATTAAGGTATTACATATGTGTCCTTACCCCCCCTTAGCACCCCCTCCCACTCCCCCACTCATGCCCTCACTCCCCTGGTGTCTGTGTCCATTGGTTATGCTTATATGCATGCATACAAGTCCTTTGGTTGATCTCTCCCCTCTTCCCCACCCTCCCCTGCCTTCCCTCTGAGGTTTGATGGTCTGATCAATGCTTCTCTGTCTCTGGATCTGTTTTTGTTCATCAGTTTATGTTGTTCATTAATTTTAAAATGTGAGGAAAAACCCTGGCCAGCTTGCTCAGTTGGTTGGAGTGTCATCCAGCACACCAAAAAGTTGGGAGTTCAATTCCCAGTCAGGTCACATACCTAGGTTGCCGGTTTGATCCCCAGTCAGGGTGCATAGAGGGGGCAACTGATCTCTCTCTCTCTCTCTCTCAATTAATGAACATATCCTCGGCTGAGAATTAAAGGAGAAAAAATTTAAATTTTTTAAAATGTGAGGAAAAAATAGAAAAATAATTATACTGAATTTTGAAATGTGATTACCTTGATTCATTACTCTTTTTTTGTGTGATAAAGCTCTAATTTTATTATTCATTTTTAATTAGTCAATTGCCTCCAAATCTTGTCATTTCTTTTTGCTCCATCGATTTGTAAAGTGGCCTTTGTAATACAGATTCATTACTCTTAAATATTTTTTTCTGCTTTCTTTTTTTCTTAATTTTTTTTATTGATTTCAGAGAGGAAGGGAGAGGGAGAGAGATAGAAACATCAATGATGAAAGAGACACATTGATTGGTTGCCTCCTGCATGCACCCCGACTAAGGCCAGGGATCAAACCTGCAATTGAGGTACGTGCCCTTGACCAGAATTAAACCTGGAACCCTTTGGTCCGCAGGGCGATGCTCTATCCACTGAACAAAATTGGCTAGGGCTACTCTTATATTTTCTTGTCCACTGGTCTTGTATACTCTTATATTTTCTTTTTCACCAGTCAACATACAGAATGCGATATTTGGTATTCATAATTAACCACAGGATCAGGGTAATATTCAGACATTAGAAAAATATGTAAATAGCATTCCCTACCTAACATCTCATTACTGTTTTAAATTCAAAATTATTCATATTACTGCTGAGATTTATTTACTTTAAAATTATTATATAAATAGTACATAAATACATTTTTGGAGAAAAAATTTCAAACAATATAAAACTGTAGAGTAAAAAATCCTCCATTTCTTCTAGCCAAGTCCTTTCTTGAAAGATTATATTTCTCTGTTAATGGATGTGTGATTCTTCCAGCTCTTTTCATATATATAAATTTAAACAATATATATGTATACATGCACATGCACATGGTTATATATTATATATACACATATACATATATCATACAGGATTATTTGTTTGTATTAATGTGATAAAACTGTACATATTTTCTGCTTTCTTTACCTAACAATATGTGTTGGAGACTTTTCCAAATTAATACATTCTTTTTATAGTTGTACAGCATTCCTAAGTATGGATATGCCATAATTTAATTATTCTTTATTATTGGACATTCAGATTGTATATTAGCTGTTACAATTACAAAGTGAATAAACTTATACATCATTGTATACCTGTGCAACTATTTTTGTTAGATAGATTTTTAGAAGTGAAATGGCCATGACATATATTTTTCCCATTGCCTTTTCTGGAATGAAACTGGTAACAGTGATTGTCTCTGGGGAGGGACCAGGGGACTAAGGGGATTTGGTTTTAGGGATGAATGTAAGATTTTATTCCAATACTAGAGGCCCAGTGCACAAAAATTCATGCACTCGGAGGATGGGGGGCCTCAGACCATCCTGCACCCTCTCGCAGTCCAGGACCCCTTGGGGGATGTCCACCTCCTGCTTAGGCCTGTTCCCCAGGAGATTAGGTCTAGGCTGGCAGTCAGACATCCTTCTGGCAGCCCGGGAGGCCTCGAGGAATGTCTGACCAACCGCTTAGGGGGAGCAGGGCTAAGCCACAGTCAGCATCTTTAGTGCTGCAACAGAGGCGGGAGAAGTTCCCGTCACTGCTGCTGCACTCACAACTGTCAGCCCAGCTTGTGGGTTTTATACACACACACACACACACACACGAGACCCAGTGCACAAAAATTGGTGCACTGGGGGACGGGGGGCAGTCCCTCAGCCAGGACTGCCCCCTCTCACAATCTGGGAGCCCTCAGGGAATATCCTACACATGGCTTAGGCTCCCCCTGGGGTGTGGGCCTAAGCTGCAGTCTGGCCTCCCTCTGCGGGAGGCAACTGGGCTGATCAGGGGAAGGCACCACCCGCATCACCCCGCTGCTGTTGCCACTGCCGGCAGCAGCGGCTGTGAGGCCTAAGCCCTGGGCCTCGCAGCCGCTGTGGCTTTGTTTGGATGGACATCTGGAAGGCGTCCACCCTAATTAGCATGTTACCCTTTTATTAGTATAGATATGTGTGTGTGTGTGTGTTGTGGTGGTTTGGTGTGAGAGCTAATTTTCATTTCACATTGTAGGAAGTTACCAGAAATAGCTAATCTAAAAGAAATGAAGAATAAGTAGAATAACATGATATTTAAAATATGGAGGTAAAAAACAAAAGAAGTGCACGTGCAATAAAGAAGAAAAAGATAAGAGTAGTGGGATAAAGAATGACGGGTATTTCAGCACAAGTAGTCAGGGGAGGTCTCTTTAAGAGGAGACATTACTTTTTATGATGCAAACAGGCAATGATAGGAAAGTGATAGGTTTTTAGGCACAGGGAGCAGAAGATAAAAATGTCTCGAGATAAGGAGCTTGGTGTCTTCAAGTGGCTGAAAGAAAGAAAATGTCATCGGAGCTTAGAGAAGAGGCAGAGGAGCAGAACATAAGGTAAAAAAAAAAAAAAAAGCAGGCAGGAGCCAGACTACAATTACAGTGGGGCCTTGACTTACGAGTGTCCCGACTAATGAGTTTTTTGAGATACCGGCTGTTCTCGGCCGATTTTTTGCATTGAGTTGATAGAGTAATTTGAGTTAACGAGCTCAGTCTCGGAACGAATTAAACTCATAAGTCAAGGCCCCACTGTATATGGGAAATTGACTCACATGGTTAGGATGGTGAACTGGAGCTGGCTTGCACTGGCTCAGAATAATCAAATTTTCAATTGCAAAAATGTTGTGAGCTTATTTTAAATACAGTCATTATTATTTAAAGTACATTTTTATTTATTTCAGAGGAAGGGAGAGGGGGAGCGAGATAGAAACATCAATGGTAAGAGAGAATCATTGATCACTTGCCTCCTGCACATCCCCCACTGGGGATCGAGCCCCCAACCCGGGCTTGTGCTCTGACCAGGAATTGAACCATGATTTCCTGGTTCACAGGTCCATGCTCAATGTCTGAGCCACACCAGCCGGGCTAACCGCAATCATTAAAGTTTAACTTAACTTACAATTAAATTAAATAAAGGTAATAAATACTCAAAACTCCTAACTTACTAATTATTTTACTATTGAAGGGGAACAGAATATCCTACCCCAAAATATCCACTTTGGCATAAGGATTATATTGAGCTGAAGACAACTGAGAAACAGCAGATGTAATCAAAGCTCTCTACCCTGAGTTTAGCTGCCTAAAAGAAAGAGGTAACTTCCCTTCGAGAAGGTGTTGCCTTTTTCCTTTCCCATACCAGGAGGAAGAAAATAACCATTGTCAATGGCACTAAGGTGGGTCTGCATCAACAAACCTTACTTAACCCTTTTCTTCGATTAGTTTACTCCTAAACTTCTCTTCCTATGTCTTATCATTTCACAAACTTACCTCCATTTGTTATCATGGTATACAATATTAACAGCCTCTTTGGGTTTTGCCTTCCTTTTCTGTGTGCATGTAAAATTGAAATATTAACATCAAATAAAATTTTTATGCCTTTTCTCCTGTGAGTCTGTCTTTTGTCAGTTTAATTTGCAGGCTCCAATCACAGGACCTAAGAGAGTAAACGTTTTTTTCCCTCCCCATCACTATATTTTACTTCTAATTTTCTTGAGGTTGCTGATGTTTTTGCAAGCTTGCTCAACAATGGCACTAATGGTAGTTTGAACTGGAGTCTTTGTTTTTGTTTTTTTTTAATTAAATCTTTATTGTTCAGATTATTACATTTGTTCCTCTTTTTTCCCCCCCATAACTCCCCTCCTCCCAGTTCCCGCCCCACCCTCCGCCCTCACTCCCCACCCACTGTCCTCATCCATAGGTGCACGATTTTTGTCCAGTCTCTTCCCACATCTCCCACACCCCTTTCCCCCCCAAGAATAGTCAGTCCATTCCCTTTCTATGTCCCTGATTCTTTTATAATCACCATTGAACTGGAGTCTTTGTTATGGGAGTTGTCCTATGCATGGTAGGGAGTTCAGCGGAATGTCTGGCCTCTGCCCACCAGATGCCAGTAGCACAGATGTGACAACCAAACAAAAATATCTCCAGACATTGCCAAACGTCCTCTGGGGAGCAAAAGCACCCACAGTTAGGTATTACTTGGTCTCCGCATAGCATCTACGGGTATCTGCCTGGTGGAAACACGATGGCAGTGCACTGCAGCACATCTCTTCCCAGTTGCTGAGGCCATGGTCCTAGCTTGGAATTGGCCAGGGTGGGAATATGGACATCACCGGACTTGACCAGCACCACAAACCAGGGCTCGATTTACTGTTTTGTTGGTTGTCTAAATTTAAGAAAATAGTGGTGAAAATGTTAATGCACGCTAACTTGTGTGTCACCGTGACATTATGAACGGTACAAAATATTGATGGAATATCTTCCAGGGCTCAAAAATTTCTGATTCAGAAACGAGGCACTCGCATTACTGAGAAATAATTACATTGTATGTGTGTCACGAAAAAAGAGCGTGCTCAGCTGTGTCAAATGCTGCTGGAGGGTCAAGGACATGGAGAATAAGTTGGATTTGCCCCGATAAGCTTGCTGCTGACCGGTTGGTGGAGCAGCAAGGAAGAAAGCCTGGGGTGTGTTGAGGAAGTGAGAAAGCTGAGGATAGTAAGGATTCTTTGGAGGGAGCAGAGATATGGGGTGGTGGCCAGTTGCTGGGAATGAATCCAAGGGACTATTATTATTTTTTAAATCCTTACCTGAGGATATTTTTTCCATTGATTTTACTTAGAGACAGAGGAGGGAGGGAAGAAGGGGTAAAAAGAGAGAGAAACAGGATATGAGAGCGAGAGACATCCATTGGTTGCTCCCTCGCCACCAGACCAGAGGGAGGCGGGATAGAACTTGCAGCCGAGGTCCGTGCCCTTGACCGGAATCAAACCCGCAGGCCGATGTCTAACCACTGAGCACCTGGCCAGGGCTCAAGGGATTTTTTTTTTTTTAAATATGGGAGAGATTAACACGTGTTGTTATTGGGCATGATCCAGTCGTGAGAGAGAAATTAAATGTGAAAGAGAGAGATAAATTTAAGGGTAAAAGTCTTTTGAGTAGGTTTAGGAGGCCAAGGTCCAGGGATAAAAAGGGGAGTAAGGACAGTTGATGGCCTTAGATTTAAAAAAAAACACATAAAAACAATACTGAGGCCATAGGCTATCAGGAGGCTCCAAAGAAATTAACCAACGTGAGACCACTTCATAAATCCTAAGATACTGAAAAGTGCTATCAAACTACTGTTCAGGTAATAAAAGATTTTACTTGCAGATTCTGAGATGCAGAATTTTTCTCTGTCCCACATCAATCACTTTCCTAACATGTCATGGCTCCGCTAATCTGGTCAAACTGCACGAAAAAAGCCTGCACGATACATCGCTAGATTCTCCGTTCCATTCGCTTTAGAAAGCTGGGAAACAGCGCCGAGGCTCACACCCCGGGGTCAGAGCCTACACTCCCCATTTCGCTTCTCCTACTTGTGTTACTGAATCAAGTTCCGTGCTCTTCACCGGCCTGGCAGTTCCGCTTCTCCTTCTTTCCTGTGATCCTATGCCAACGGCAGGCGAAGGAAAACATCTACTAAACTCCTCCTGAAAAACGCCTTTCCCTTTCCATCTCTAAATAACTGAATGGAAAAGCGAAAAACCATTTCAGGGGTCAAACAGGAAGAAGTCTCGGAACCATGTGAGGTTGGTCAGCGAGTGTTTCCCCCTCGGCCCGAAGGTGGAGGCGCGGCATCGCCGCAGAGGCGCGGGGTGCGGAGCTGCGGTCGGGCGGGCGGAGGAAGCGGGAGGGGCGGGTCGCGGGCTCGGAGGCTGGGGACCTAGTGGGCGCTACAGAGAAACGGAACGTCCACCAGGCGCCGGACACAGCACGGGCCTCGACAGCTCGGGGCCTGTAGGGCTCGGAGACGAAGGTGGAACCTGTCTCCAAAAAGGCGGGGAGGCGCGGCTGAGAGGGCGGGGACACCATTCCCTTCACCTGCCAATCGCCGCTGGCCTGGGCTCGGCTTCGGGGCTTGGCTTCGGGGCTTGGCTTCTGCCCTGGGTAACTGCGCAGACGGAAGTGACGTCCTAGTTCCCGTCCGTCTCTCCTCTTGGCCCCGCCTCCCGGCCCCCGCCCCCGCCCCCGGCTCTCCCGGCCCGGCCCCTCGCTCTTCTGTTTCCTCCACCCGCGCGTTCCTGGAATCCGAAGCCGTAGAACGTGAGGGGGGTTGGAGCTGTTAGAAGCCCTCAAGGCCACAGTCAGTGGCTTTCAGGCCACGGCTTTTAGGAGAAAAACCAAAGTGATTTTCTGCGAAATTGGACTCAGTATGTTATAAATTCCGGTCACTTCAACCAGGATTTTAAAGATGTTGGAGATACACAGTGAAACCTTTTCTATTTAATTAATTGATTCATTTGCAAATAAGAAAACGGATCTTTCCAGTGATTTGACAGGTCTTGCCCAGGATCAAAGAGTAAGTGACACCCGACCGCAGTCCAATGCTACTTCTGAATGGAAGCTCTTGAGCTGGTTAAAACAGTTTTTAAGTGAAAACAGGTGACCTCGTAAATGAATTTTCAGACAATCTTAAATGATACAAATACCGCACATCTAAAGCAAGTTTGAGTTGCTTGAAATCTAAATGTCTCACACTTGGGCAATGCTTTAGTTTGCCAATGATTATTGCAATGTAAAATACTCCTGTTTAGAAACTGCCCAGCTCTGGTATTTCCTTCCTGTGCTCCTGCATGTAATACAATTATTTTGTAAGAAAGATGATTTGTGGGGGGAAAACACTGGAAGAGAACATTTCCTATATGATAACATGTGTGCTGAAGAAATTCCCTGTAGGCTAATTCAGTGATTCATTGAGCTTCCAGAGTTCTTTAAAATCATTCTCACAATCATAATAAGCAGGAGGGGTGAGCTGTAGTTCCCTTCCATGTGGTTACCTTGATGCATTAGCATACAGGAGCTATGTATGTTATATGTAAAAATATAATCATGGAAGCATTATGTATACTTGTACTTAATTTTTTAATCTTGTAGAAACTATGTTTAAATTTGAATTTATTCAAAACTACAAAACTGCACAACATTGTTGAATGTACTTATGTTATGAATTGTATTCTTAAATATGGTTAAAATGGTAAACTTATGTATATTTTACCAAATTTTTTAAAATTAAAATTAGAAAACTACAAAACTAAGCTAGTAAATAATTGAGAAAAAATATTTTTAAATGTAAAAAAATGAAATAGAAAAACACATTTAAGGGTCATTGCCTTGTTTATATGTTACTTTTAAAATAAATCCTGCACGGGGGGGCAGGGGCAGATTGGAGGGAGCCAATGGGGGAGAAAGGGGAACATATGTAATACTTTCAACAATAAAAATTTTAAAAAATAAAATAAGCCCTGCAGGTGTGCTCTCCCTCCTGGGAGCAATGCCAGTGCCTTTTCCTGCCCCTCCCCCTCTTTTGCCCACACAGGCATGCATCTCCTAAACTCTAAGGGACCCAGGAGACTTGCAACCAGAGCAGCAATGGGCAGTGGCAGTTAGTCCTGGGCAAACCTCCTGAACCTGTCCCCAAGGCCCCCCTTTCTCTGACTTATTCATATATATATATTTGTTACAGAAGACCAAAGAAATACCAAGCACGCTTCCTGGAGAAAGGGAGGGACCCCGTTTATTAACACTAGTGGACTCCGGGAATAATTTCCAAATCAGAGTGAAGAAACACACAGAGAGCCTGTCTGTATATAGTCTCCTGGGGTCTTTGTCTTGCAGATATGCCCCCTGCCCCCTTCGTGGCCCTGCAGGAAGGCCCCCAGGTCTCAGGCCACATCCGATGGCCTGTCCTAGCACCAGCATAGCAACCCTCTCCCCCTCAGCCCCCCCTCCCCCCAGGGCAGTGCATTGTTCACAGTTTCTATGGCCTGACCCGCCTTGCAAGACCAGTTTCCTCCTCATATTGATTTCAGAGGTGAAAGGAGAGGGAGAGAGATATAGAAACATCAATAATGAGAGAGAATCATTGATCGGCTGCATCCCACGGGGGGATAGAACCTGCAACCCGGGCATGTGCCCTGACCGGGAATCCAACCATGACCTCCTGGTTCATAGGTCAATGCTCAACCATTGAGCCACCCAGGTCCGGCTCTCTGACTTTTTTTTTTGCTTAAAGTATTACAAAGGGTATTACATATGTGTCCTTCTCTGACTTCTTTTTTTTTTTTTTTTTAAATATATTTTATTGATTTTTTACAGAGAGGAAGGGAGAGGGATAGAGAGTCAGAAACGTCAATGAGAGAGAAACATCGACCAGCTGCCTCCTGCACACCCCCCACTGGGGATGTGCCCGCAACCAAGGTACATGCCCTTGACCGGAATCGAACCTGGGACCTTTCAGTCCGCAGGCCGACGCTCTATCCACTGAGCCAAACCGGTTTCGGCCTTCTCTGACTTCTTAATGAGACAAAGCAGCCAAGCCTAGCCTCATTTCCCCACCTAATCCCTCTCCTGTTTTCCTAGGCCCTTCCTTATTTCACTGTCCCCAGATTTAATAAATGTCCTCTAAAATTCAAGATAAAATAAAATAATCCCTACGTATTTTTAAGGACATAGCTATCTGAATTACTGTAGAAATAATTATAATAGTTACAATTCAAGCATATATTATTTTGCCTCTAATTTGATCCAGAGGAATTCAGTAATTTCTTAGTAATAGGCTCAGATTTCTTTTAATTGCTCTAATACATGTAAACATTTTTTTCAGTTCTTTAAAAGTATCTTTCTTTCTTTTTTTCTTTCTTTCAATCTCATTGGGATTTTTGCCAGATAGTACCTCTTTAAAAAAAAATTCTTTATTGTTGAATGTATTACATATGTCCCCCTTTTCCCCTCATTGACTGCCTCCAGCCCCTCGCCCTGCTCCAGACCCTCATGGCTCCTTTGTCTGTGGCCATGGGCCATGCATATATGCATACAAGGTTCTTGGTTGATTATTTCCATCCTCCCCCCGCCTTCCCTCTCAGATTCCTCACTCTGTTCCATGCTTCCATGTCTCTGGATCCACTCCGTTCATCAGTTTATTTTGTTACTTAGATTCAACATATGTGTGAGATCATGTGATACTTGTCTTTCTCTAAGTGACTTATTTCACTTAGCATAATACTCTCCAGGTCCCTCCATGCTATCTTACAGGGTAAGAGATTCTTCTTTTTTACTGCTGCATAATATTCCATGGTATAAATGTACCATAGCTTTTTTATCCACTCATCTACTGATGGGCACTGGGGCAGTTTCCAGATCTTAGCTATTATAAATTGTGCTGCTATGAACATAGAGGTGCATTCATTCTTTCTGATTGCTGTTTTGGGTTTCTTAGGATATAATTCTAGAATTGGGATCACTGGGTCAAATGGCAGTTCCATATTTAATTTTTTGAGGAAACTCCATGCTGTCTTCCATAGTGGCTGCACCAGTCTGCATTCCCACCAGCAGTGTACTAGGGTTCCCTTTCTCCACATCTTTGCCAGCACTTGTCATTTGTTGATTTGTTGATGGTAGCCGTTGACAGGTCTAAGATGATACCTCATTGTCATTTGAATTTGCATCTCTCTGGTTATCAGTGACTTTGAGCATGTTTTCATATGTCTCTTGGCCATCTGTATGTCCTCTTTGGAGAAGTGTCTATTTAGGTCCTTTGCCCATTTGTTAATTGGATTGTTTGTCTTCCTTTTGTTAAGTTCTATGAGTTCCTTATATATTTTGGATATTAACCCTTTATCAGATGTATCATTGCCAAATATGTTCTCCCATATAGTGGGCTCCCTTTTTGTTTTGCTGATGGTTTGTTTTGCTGTGCAGAAGCTTCTTATTTTGATGTAGTCCCAACTAAGGAGATATAATCTCGTTTTAAAAAATTATAATTTTCAAAATTTTATTTACAAAATGTACTTTATTAAAAAAGTATATATAATATGTCCCATGATATAACATTCTAAACATAGATTTAAAAACAGCATAATAGAAAATATAAATACCCATTTTTCCTAGGTATATCTTTTGTGCATTTATTGTCTTTTGCTAGGTTTGCATTTTTATTTATTTTATAGTCTGATTCACACTTATAGTAAAAACATTTTAACTATCTCACACAGGTATAAAGCAAAAATTCCCTTTCTTCATCCCCTCTTCAGATATTGGTGAATATCCTTTCAAACTTTCAACCACATGGATATATTTTTGTTTTTTACATAAATGGTTTCGCATTATACATGTTGTTCTGAAAAAACTTGCTTTTCCCCCCACCCCTGAACACTGTTATGGAAATCTTTCATAATAGTGCATTTAGAGCTACTTTATTCTTGCTTGTACTGTATTCCTTTATGTATCAATATCTATGTAGCCAATTCCCTAATGATGGCTATTTAAGATGTTTCCAACATTTTATTAATAAAAACAAGACTGCAACAAATGTTGATATTTAGACAAATGCAGTTATTATATTCACTTGTATATCCTTACATCCCTCTCCTCCTTTTAAAGATCAGGTATTTTTCATGAAAACCGAAGTATTAAAAATGACTAATGGAAATCATGGGTAATGTCTGAACTAAGAAGGAAAAAAATCATGGTTTTAGTAATCCCATTTTTACCAAAGTATATTCATGTCAACAAACCAGGAAGCCATCTAAACTCACTCATTTTAAAGCCACGACTGAGTTGGTATGATGGAGGATTATTTATGAAGGCTGCTCCCTTCCAGTGGAATTTTTCGAGGGGCTCCACTTAATTTCTTAAGCACATCCTTGTTGTTCCACAGCCAGAAGCTGCCTGGCTTATCTCAACTCAATTTTAACTGTTTGGCGGCAGGTGATATAAATTTTAAAAATTTAAGATGTCTCTAACAAAATATCATTAGCCATCAAAAAAGACCTGGGTTGCCCTAACAGTTGGCTTAACGGTTTGGCTCAGTGGATAGAGCATCGGCCTGCGGACTGAAAGGTCCCAGGTTCGATTCCAGTCAAGGGCATGTACCTTAGTTGCGGGCACATCCTCAGTAGGAGGTGTGCAGGAGGCGGCTGATTGATGTTTCTTTCTCATCAATGTTTCTAACTCTCTATTCCTCTCCCTTCCTCTCTGTAAAAAATCAATAAAATACCTTTTTTTTTTTTTTAAAAAAAAAAAAAGGACCTGGGTTTGGAGGACAGGGAGATATGAGGGAGGGCAAACTTTCTATAATCTCAGCTTTGACGAGTCCAAACTCCATGTATCATATATCAATGACATAGATTCATTAAGATCTGGTCTAACTACAGCTTGCCCTTTATTTTATGCTGTGCACTTCTGCATTTGGAAAACTTGGGTTTTAGGGTTTTCCATGGATACTTGGCTTTGATTACATTGTTCCTAAATGTGATTTTGCTCTTATCTAGTTAAGAAAAATTCTTATTGTTTTTCAAAAAAGAATAGATATGACTACTTTTAAGTGGTTACACTGTTTTCCAGATTAAGTTAATATTTCAATTAGGGGAGTCAGTATTTTAAGATTGGGAGTGTGGATAGTTCTTGTTTTTTTGGAGTGTGGTTCTTCAGGTAACTCAGCCTTGAACTGGTATTACAAGGAATGTGCATCGAACTTCTGGGCTGTAAGTCTTAAGTTTGGACCCTAAAGGCAGAGGAAATTTCCATTTGTTTAATCTTGGCAATGCAACCCAGTGAAATGGAGGAGGGGTGCAGTGAGGATGCTTGCCTTTGTGGTTAGCTATTAGTCAATCCCAAGATACCAGGCTTCCTGCAGTTTGTTGCAGAGGTTTTCAAGTATCCCTTTAAAATATTAAAAAGAATTACAGATCCCCACCTGACTGCAGTTACCTTTATTCAATCCTATATAATAAAAGGCTAATATGCAAATCAACTGAATGGAGGAACAACTGGTTGCTATGATGCGCAGTGACCACCAGGGGGCCGATGCTCAAGGCAGGAGCTGCCCCCTGATGGTCAGTGCGCTCCCACAGGTGGAGTGCTGCTCAGCCAGAAGCTCTGAGCTGTGCTCATGGATGGTGAGTGCGGGAGCCTCTCCCACCTCTGTGGCTGTGCTAAGCTGGCAGTCGAACACCCGTCGAGGGCTCCCAGGCTGCGAGAGGGTGCAGGCCGGGCTGAGGAACCCCCCACCCCCATCCAGTGCACAAATCTTGTGCACCGGGCCTCTAGTATATAGATAATGAATGGTCCCGTCGGGGGCGTTCATCTATTTTAATAACTGTGATAGATTGGAAACTACTAGCTTAAGGCACTTTCTCCTTATTTTTATTTCAGGTGTAGGTAAAACTCAGCTAAAAAGCTATGTGTGAGCTTTTAAAAAATATTCCCCATCATAGAATCCCAGCTACCATTCATAACAGAGTCATCTTCTTCTTCCTTATTCTTATCAGATTTTTCCCAGAGGAAGCTAACTGTTACTGAATGTCAAAAGCAGCTTGTAGAAGGAGAAATTGTGTGGTAGGGGGGTGAAAAAACAACCCTGCCCAAATATTTTTTCTTCATAACTGGAAATGGAAGAGCGAAAGCAAACAATGAATAAAAAAACCAAACCAATAAATATGATGTAGATACATTCCCTAGAGAGTGATTTGTATTTTGGCAAGCTGTGTTCTTCGTAGCTTAGATTCTGTCTGGATGCTTCCATTGAAGATGCAGCCGGCCTACAAAGGAGTGTAAATCCGGGCTGACTTAAAGTTCTTCTCTTGAAGGTCTCTTCCCCTGGCACTGGCAGATGGATGTGTTATCATCCGGCTGAGGAACAAGTTCCATTCCATCACGTATTTCGGGTTTGCTGGACTGGCGCTCAGCATAATTCTGAATTGTGGTTTTAAAGGCAACAAAAAGATTAGTCCACACTTCATTCCCCTTACTCCTTCCCAATCGTGCTGTCACTTCTAGTGGCTGCAAACCAAAGGTCTGATGTTACATTTTTCACTTTAGTTGTTGTAGGTACTAGTGTGATATCTCATAACCTAACAAGGAACCCTAATCCACAATTTTATGTGTAGGTAGGAAGCCTCTACAACAAGGATGTCAAGCCAAGTGTTCTGGAAACAACAGCACCAGTTAGCATTTATCCTCCGCGCGTCAATGAGTAATTAACTTTACTGAATATTCAAATCAGATGGTAAGCATCTCAAAATAAAGTTGGGGCTCTCTCCTATCTCTCCTTTAGGCCTGTAGTCATGCACTCTAGGTATGGTAAATGGTGACAGGCCTGTGAAATGTCCCTCCCCTTTGGCCACTGACAAATATTCCTAAAAATTGGATATTTCAGTTCAGTGGTTTCAAATACATTGAGCTGGACACTCCTTGTCAAGGCCAAACCCAACAAAATACTGACATGAACACATGAGCCTAATTAATGTTGTAGGGAGGGAAACGCCTACCAGCCCAGCAGAGGGAACAGAGCTCATCTAAGGGAAAGGTTGTTTCTGGTAAACGGTGTAATTCATCATTTAAATTTTTCTGTGAGAGGTTGGTATCAACAAGCATCTGAGGAAACTTATTTTTTTTCTGCTCACAGGAAAAATAAGTTTAGGTTCAAAACAAGAACATATGTTCTTATTTTTTTTTCTCCCTGGCTAGATTTTAATGAGTAAAGGTAGTTACACAAGAACTAATCCGTGGATTCCCAATAAACATTTGTACAGTACTTCGTTATTTAGCTCTAAGGTATTAGTACTATTATAAGTATTTTTCATTTGTTTGTTTTATGTAGGAAGCTAAATATTTGCTTTCTATCCTATACTATGATAGCAAAAGCAGGACTCGTAAGTAGCAGGAAGAACAAAGAGGTGGGCATTTCGAGTGGGAAGAGATGTTACTGACCTCTACTCCAGTTTTCTAGATGATGAATCCCTTAAGGCATTTAGTAAAAAAGAAAAAAGAAAGAAAGAAAAAAGGCACTGGCAAGATAGTAGGACTGTTCCATCTATTTTTGTATGGCTGTAAGCATTGTTTTTGTAATACCGAGTGGAGATAAAATATGTTGGCTACCAAGAGACTTAGTACTCTTCCTCCTTTAGGCTGGTCCTTGGCTTAACCAGAGTCCACAAGCTCAATCTCAGTAGCACCCCCAGAGTGAGGCATTCAGGCCAAGCATGACCCCGCAGGATGGATACTCTGCACTGACCTGCAGTACTCTGTAATAGTAGCAGTAAATCCTGTGTGGCTGTAGCAAGTCCCTGGCAGTCAACTGCCCTTCTTTGGCAATCCTCTTGGCTTCTTCGTCATTTTCCTGAAAGGTTGAAAAAGAAACAATGAATGAAAATGACTCCGGTGAGCCACAAAGCTAAAAGTGAGTGTGAGCGAGGACAGGTGTGGGGTTGGATATGCACTGCACGGGAGAGATGGATTGTGATGAAAATATCACCTAAGAACAAGGCTATGGAAATGGACAAAGTGCTCTCCTAGACATCTCTGTTACGTGGAAATGATCATGCATGTTTGTACCCTATTCCACAGGCCCACTACCAGCTCCCCCCGTCCCCACAAAGTGCAAAAACCCACATGCAGCTTCTATTGTGACTACCTTGGTACTTTCCTAGGCACCCAGGAAGTTTAGGGTTCCTCATCTGTTCCCCCATTCTAGCCTTCTCTGTTTGATATTAAAATACAAGCTAGAATAGAATGAGTCAGTTTTCATGTTACAACATCTCTTAAAAGTGCCATTTAAATATGCAATCAGAGTCCCAAATTTCTTATAAAATGTTACCAATGAAAGACTATATTGCTGTTGCAATAAAAATTTAGTCACCAGTACCCACAGGCTGTCCCTTTAGTTGCAGGAATAGTCAGCATGCCTAATTATATTTTGGGAAAATAGCTAATATTCTACCATGCTGCCCATAGGAAAAGCCATTTGCAAGTTATTCTGACTCGTTATAAAGGGTCACAATAATTATTCTGCCTCAGGCACCCAGTGATTTCCCTAACCAAATACTGCTTCTTAGAAACAGTAAAGTCTTATAATAAAAGGGTACATTTTTATAGTTTCATAATAAAACACAATCACTTTTTAATACTTTTCTTTTTAAAAAGAATTCTTATTTTATGGGAGACTTGTGATTCTTGGATGCTGTATATCATGCCTTCATTATGAACTTGGGCCTTTTTCTAACTGAGGGGGGAAAAGAGCACCATGTTGACTTAAATGTCTTCTTGTGCATAAAGCACTGTGACCTGGTCTTTTCTATCTGTAACTCGCATTTGGAGTATTTTCGCTTGTGTGTGTATATGCACAAATAGTGATCCCATGAGAACGATATATATATTCTATAAAACACTGGACTTCAAGTATAAAAATCCTCAAAAATGTTGACAGAGGGCATATCAAGTGATAATGATATTGGTTCTTCAGCTACTTCAAGAGAATAAAAACTTCAGAAAATATTTCTTTTGACTAAATATGTCAAATTAAATTGTGTCATGAAGGAATTCCTGGAACTAAAGTATGACCTCTCTTTAGAATAATAGAAATATATTTAAATTAATTCTTCCATAATATTTCCCTACTAGGAAAGAGAATATAAATATATGTATACCTGTGTATATGTATACCTGTGTATATGTATATATAAATATATGTATACCTGTGTATATGTATACCTGTGTATATGTATATATAAACATGAAGTAGCTGAAGAACCAATATCATTATCACTTGATATGTCCTCTGTCAACATTTTTGAGGATTTTTATATTTGAAGTCCAGTGTTTTATAGAACATGTATATCTTTCTCATGGAATCACTATTTGTGCATATACACACACAAGCAAAAATACTCCAAATGCAAGTTACAGATAGAAAAGACCAGGTTACAACATGGAATTCCTGGAACTAATTCTGGTGCATTTGTTATTGCTTAAAGAAACTAAAATTCAGAAAGTATACCTTGGCCCATTTAACTTTCTCTAGTAAATCAGCAAGGTTCCTTTTAATTGGCACGTAATGTTTCCAGGGCTGTAGTGCCATGTAAAAGTGTTCATAATACGGGGAGTCCTGCTTCAGAACCAGACTGTCCCCCAGCATGAGATACGGGTATCTGTAAGCAGCCACGGTCCCATCCACATTCACTTGATACTTGTACTAAAAGGTTAAAACAAACATAAACAAACATTTTAACATTTGCTTCACTTATGCTTCTCATCAACACTATAATACTACACATAAAGGAATTCATTTCCACTTCCTAACTTTATTGTTTAGCAGGTTTATATTTTATTTTGTAACTCGTATTTTCTCTGTATTAACATCATAAACACCATATTAGCGGGTCAATTTTAAGAAATACAATGCAGCCCAGCCGACATGGCTCAGTGGTTGAGCGTCGACCTATGAGATAGGAGGTCACGGTTTGATTCCCCGTCAGGGCACATGCCTGGGTTGTGGGCTCGATCCCCTGTGGGGGGCATGCAGGAGGAAGCCAACTGATGAAGTTTCTCTCTCATCATTGATGTTTCTATCGCTCTCCCTTTCTCTCAGAAATCAATAAAAATATATTTTTCTTAAAAAAGAAATACAATGCATTTAAAGATAAAATCTTAAATAATTTTAGGTAATAGGAATACCTACTTCAACTATAATGGAGAATTCATATTTCTGTAACAACGTAGGAAAACGATTCTCAAAGGTTTTATATTTACTAAACTGAATATTGATAACCATTTAAAATTTTTCTTATACTTTTTTTTTTCTTATACCCATGAAAAAGGAAGGCAATAACCTAGCTGGTGTGGCTCAGTGGTTAACACTGATCCAGGAACCAAGAGGTCACTGTTAGATTCCCAGTTAGGGCACATGCCTGGGTTGTGGGCTCTATCCCTTAGTAGGGGGCATGCAGGATGCAGCCAATTGATGAAGTTTCAACAAACTATGTAACCAAGTAACACTCACACATCTTTAATCCTTAGCTTGCTCAGAATTATGAGCACAGCACTTCTGAATACATGGAAGAATTTTGCTAATATGCTGTTATGTGTATCTATATACATATACATATACATATACATATACATAAATATATATATATTTAATATATATATACACACACACACACACACACAGGTATACATATACACAGGTATACATATATTTATATTCTATTTTTATTATTCTAAAGAGAGGTCAGGGCACATGCCCGGTTGTAGGCTCAATCCCCAGTAGGGAACATGAAGGAGGCAGTCAATCCATGATTCTCTCTCATCATTGATGTTTCTATCTCCCTCTCCCTCTCCCTTCCTCTCTGACATGAATAAAAATATATATTTTTAAGTGAGAAAACTAATATTCAGAGAAATTTATAAACCTCTATTCTCTGAGTCCAAATACCTCGTTCTCATAATTATATGACACCGAGATGAACAGGATATACTCAGAAATTTAGTAATTAATTTTTCTTAAATAATCGATACTAAGGAGTTTACTAGCCAGTCAGGTTTTGTCACACTGTTCACATCTCTGTCTCCTCTGAACTCAGGACAATGCCCTGAGGAGCGAGGCAGCAGCACCCGTGTTCACAGGACAGAGGCAGTAAGACATGAAGGCCCCACAGTTAGCGGCAGAGGCAGGACTTAACCTCAACTCTAGCTCCTATGTTACTAATATGGGATTTATACTCTTTCCACTTACAAAGGCATTTGAGACCATTTATGTAGAAGACATTTATATATCCAGTTTACTGAAAAAAAGCACACAAAGAAATGCACCCAAACTCCAGGTTAAGCCTCGTGCTATATTTTGAGTATTAAGTGAAGTTCTGAGTTGTTTGGTAGACATACAACAGGAAACCAGGAGTTTTGTAATTCCCAGGCCTGCTAAGCAAGTGTGTGCCAGCTCACAAGACAGGAGAAATTGGCCCAAGCCCAGCTATTTCCAAATTTATCACTTCAGACCCACCCAGGAAGAATTAAATGCATACCTTAAAGAAATCAAAGAAACCTATCAATTTAGCTTTTCCAAGCTCTTTCTCTTTCTCTTGGAAAAAGAAATACCCCGTGATTCCCGCATCTAGGAGCTGTGGGTTCTCCTTGGCCAGCTGCACCAGCTGGAGCCGCTCCTCTCGGCTATCCCTACCTCTGAAGAAAGCTTTCTCTGTCTTATTGATCCAGGAAGGCCCTAGAAGGTTGAGACCATAAAAAAAAAAAAAAAAAAAAAATTAAAACTTTTATGTGGTAAATGTAATCATCTTTAATCTAACATTGGCATCTATGAGGTTAAAGCTCTTTTATCATCACCACGTCTTCTAAAGCAGGGGTGGGGAACCTTTTTTCTGCCAAGGGCCATTTTGCTAGTATAATATCATTTGAGGGCCATACAAAATTATCAGCTTAAAAATGAGCCTGCTATATTTGGTCAAACATTTAATTAACTCACCCCTAATGCCTTGGCAGGGCCAGACCAAATGATTTTGTGGGCCTTAATACCACCCTCTGGCTGGACGTTCCCCACCCCTGTTCTAAAGGAAATGCTATTTTCAAACATTATGGGATTAGAATGCTCTAATTTCATTTCTTTGTCTGCTAGGGAGAGCTCACTCAAATGTTAGAGTTTCTGTTGTGCAACATTAGAAAATATACAAAATATTACTGGACCAAGTTCAAAGCAAAGAGAGATTCATCGATTTGGCCTGTTCACCAAGGCATTAGCTTCTTCCATCTTTTTTGTTTGTTTTTGTTAATCCTTACTTGAGGATATTTTTTCCATTGATTTTTTAGAGAGAGTGGAAGGGAGGTAAGGAGAGGGAGAGAAGAGTGAGAGAGGGAGAAACACTGATTTGAGAGAGACAGATCAATTGGTTGCCTCCCACACTCGCCCTAACTGGGGCTGGGAATCGGACCTGCAACCTAGGTAAGTGCCCTTGACTGGGAATCGAACCGAAGACCCTTTGGCATGCAGGCTAATGCTCTAACTACTGAGTAACACCGAACAGGGCACTTCTTCCATCTTCTGTGCTTCATAGTACAAAATGAGCCAGCTTTTGTCTGTAGACAAGGTGACCAGAACAAAATATGTAAGTAACACCCACGCATCTTTAATCCTTAGGTTGCTCAGAATTATGAGCACAGCACTTCTGAATACATGGAAGACTTTTGCTAATATGCTATTATGTGTATCTATATACATATACTAGTACATATACTAGTACATATATATAAACACAGGTATACATATACACAGGTATATATATATTTATATTCTCTTTCCTAGTAGGGAAATATTATGGAATACTTAATGTAAATATATTTCTATTATTCTAAAGAGAGGTCATTATTAACATCTGTCAGTGTTCTAAGGGATAAATCACAAGACACAGAAATTGGAGAGGATCAGACTCATTACTATGTTAGCACACTTTTCAGAAATTCCCTGTTATCAAATAAAAAGTAGGTCAGTTTTCCTTTCACATCATCTTTAGATAGTTTACAAGGCGTCTCTGGTCTTGTCTATTAAATCAGTCCACCAATCCACAGTAAACAGAAAGAGGCTATAAAGAGAAGGCAGGCTTTCTTCGACTCAGAGAGTTCAGTGTAATGAAAAGGTGTGTTGTGCCATAAACCTAAGGCCATTAAAAATGGGAAAGGAATTCAGGTTTTAAAGAATCAAGAGAAGCAGAAAGAGGAAAGGGGAGAATTTCTTAGACACAGTGTTGGAAGTAAGAATATCCAAATGATACTGCTATCATATTCTCATATATATCATTTTATACTTTTCAAAATTATCTCTCACTTCATCTAGCGATATAAAAACGTTGGTGCCAGAATTCAGTGACAATTTTACCAAATATATATGTTCAAATAGTAGTCTGACTAATAGAGTGACTAACTCAAAAGAGACTCAGCTCTGAGAGGTGTGCACATCACTAGCCCTGCTCATGTATCTTTAATTTTTGGATTAGAAGAATCCTAAAGAAACCTCTTTGGCATATAGAATGCTGTTTCTCTTTTTCCTGGGTTAGAAAATAAGAAAAATGGTTATTTAAATATATATACATATACCCTCCTTGACTAATATATCCCCTTCACCTTTTTTTATATCTAAGTTTTTTCTTAGAACTTGAATTTACCTGTATTTCCCTGAATAGAGAGGAGATCATTTGTAACACCCCTCATTGCTTCAAGTGTGGAGTGAGTGATGTCATACGTCGGAAGGATAATATCTCGTGAATCCAGAGAGCCACACCATGAAATGATAGGTAAAGGGCCAGGCGTTTCGTTGACTTTTCGATGTTCCAAAGGCCAATCTCCAAGATTAATATAAAATTCTAAATCTGGGAGAAGGACCTAAATAAACAAAAATATAAACATCAGTGCTGAGAAGACCTCATGTTTGGTACTAAATGTTGTAGTTCTTTGGCCTTCTTAAATATTTCTGATAAAATGAAACATCTGAAAATAGCAGCAAAAGAGAAAAGAATGCCTTAGTCATCAGTGGTATCAGAGAATCAAGGATGAGGACAATACACAGTCAATTCACTTAATCAAGCGTGAGCTATCTCTGTTCAGGGGTGACATTTTAAATTGGTCAGTAGTGTAGAAGTTGAAATTGTACAGATGGGTATGAATGAGTGGCTTTCTTTCTGGCAGCTGCCTACGTGAGAATCTACAAAGTTAGACTCAAGCCCTTGTTTTCCTTCTCTTTATCGCTTCTACCTTTGATTCTGGAATCTGCTACTCCATCTCCACCTCCGCGGTCAATGCCTTAGTTTAGGTCTTTATCATCTCTTGCCTAGATTGTTGTAATAGCTCACTTCCTAGGTGTTCTGGTGCTAGACTCTTCTCCACTCTAATATGTTTTCCACATTGCTGCCCACATTTCTAAAACCAAAGTTAATGTTACTACCAGGCTTAAGCCTTTAGGACAAGGTCTAAACTCTCTGGCTAGAACTCAAGGTCCTATTATTACCTTTGAGCCTTATCTTCTATCTGCTTATGTGCCAGTAAACTTTTGGCCACTCTCTGAAAATGCCACCCACTTTAATATGTAATTCTCTTTGGCCGGAATGTTCTTCTCCTACTTATTCATTTGGCACTTTCCTTTCTCATCCAGAGCTAATGTTACCTCCACTATGACTCCCCTTCCCAGGCATTTTAACCTGGTACCTACTTTTCTCTCAGGCCTGCCATGTTGTGGTACAATTATTTGTTTGTATTCACATTCCACCCTCACTTCCAAATCACAAAAACAAGTCCCATGAGAAAGAGGAGCTCTAAGACCAGAGGTGAGACTCATTTCTCTTAGATTTCACCCCAGTCACTGGGCAAAGAACCTGGAACAAAACGGAAGGTCAAGGGATGTGACTATTCACCCTATTGCTTTTCTCATATCTACATATATAAAAGGCTAAGCGACCGTCCGACCAGTAGCTATGATGCACAAGGACCACCAGGGGGCAGACACTCAACGCAGGAGCTGCCAAGTTGCGGTGACTTAGGTTCTCGGGTGAGGCACCCTGGAACCAGAGAGGAGGGAGCCCAATTCTGGGATATGTCACCTGAGAACCACCCTCTCGCAATCTGGGACCCCTTGGGGGATGTCGGAGAGCTGGTTTCGGCCTGATCCCCACAAGCCAGGCTGAGGGACCTTATGTGCCAGAGGGACCCCGCGTTCACTCCGCAGACGCCCTTCGAGCTGCAGCACCGCCCCAGGTGTGGCCAGCTGGGGAGGGACCACGGGAGGTTGGCTCCAGGGCATGTCCAGCCTGTCTCGCCCAGTCCTACCCTGCTGGCCACCTTCTAATTAATTTCCTTTCAATGTGCATGAACCCATGCACCGGGGCACTAGTAATGTATAAGCTCATTAATAAAGCCCAGATTAGGAGTCCTCACTACAGAGCAGAGTTTCTCAATGTCAGCACTATGGACATTTAGTTGTGGGTAATTATTTGCTGTGGTGCTGTCCTGTGCATTGTAGGATGTTTGGCAGCACCCCTAGCCTCTACCCACCAGATGCTAGTCGTAACCCTCCTGTGGTGACAACAAAAAATGTCTCTAGACATTGTCAAATGTTCTCTGAGGGCAAATGTATTCCTAGTTAAGAACCACCTGAATACAAGATAGGGGAATATAGGGCAGGGGGGCTGGTGGCAGCCCAGGAAGGAAGCACCACCTTCAGGATCAGTTGCCCATATGTTCATATTGTGGACTGGTGGGGGGAGGGGAGGCAACTGCTAGTCAAAATCAGAAATGATTGCAGCCACACATTCAGTGTGCTTGGGAAATTATACAACTCATATCAAGAAAGTTGGCTTTTGGTTTAGAAAACTACCTCGATGGTCTTTCTGGATGAGAAACGTCAAATTGCCCATCTTCACCCCTTACTCTACATGGTCAGGGAAACAGGACAAAAATCGCTTTGAATTACTCTACTTAAGAGTATTACAAATGGGAAAAGAAGGGCTAAATAGAGGATTTGGAGTGGGAGGTGGATGACTGAAAGTACAGGGATACCTATTTTTAAAGGCTTTTGTTTATTGATTGATTGATTGATTTGACTATGTATGGGTACAAAATAACCTTTCTCGGCTACTCCACCCTTCAACAAAATGTGCCATACACAGTATCTTTCAGAGGTGTTTAGGGTACAGCAAGGAAGCTGTGTTCTAAATTCAAGTCATTCTGAGGTGACAAGAAGAAAACAGCTGCAGAAAGTAAAACCTGAACGGAAGGAATATTCAGTAGGAACGGAGAACTTCTGGCAGTGGCCTTGAGGCTACAAATGTCTGAGAGTTCACAGAAACCTTGGGAGTACCCTGTGCCCTACTTATTTGGGATGGAGGGTGAAGCCACTTCCTGTAAATATTAAAGGAAAGGGAGAGCCATAGACATGGAGAACTTACAGACACACGGGAGGTGGACACCTCACGTGCACATTTCCAAGCCTGGAATCCAGTTCTATCTTTTGCCATTATTCTCCTAAGCATTTAAATGTTACAACTAAGTACTTAAATGATACTGTTTTTAAAAAAATCAATGAATTCATTCTCATACCTTTCTGGCCAGTGATAACAAGATCTCATCTGAGAACATTTTGAAGTCTGTGTATTTCCCTAAAGGTCTCCGGTAGATGTGGTTATTGAGAATTGTGTAATGAACAATGGCACCTCTCTCTTCCCCGAACCTTTTTGGAACTTCATTTAGCATCTGCTGGAGATTAATGCTGGGAAAAGAAGCAAAATCTTTGGCAATCTGTGGTTCTTTGGTTGGACAAGACAGAGTTTCCTGCCAAGCCTGGGGATCCTCTTCTGGACACTCGCAGTACTCGTGGTAGATGGGTCCTGGGGAAGGCAAAGCACACACTTTATTAGCCAGCGCAAGGCAAGCAGTTGTTTCTGCCCCTGTTGTGAACGTGGGATGACTTCTTGGTGAATTCTAAGATTATCAGGAAAAATCTGCCCTAAACATGTCAGTGGTGAAAGTAGTTATGTAAGAGTCCTGTGCTCCTATTTTCTGTCTCCCTTTTGCAATCCCCTAAGTCCATGATTGGCAAACTGCGGCTCGCGAGCCACATGTGGCTCTTTGGCCCCTTGAGTGTGGCTCTTCCACAAAATACCACGTGCGGGCGCACACGTACAGTGCGATTGAAACTTTGTGGCCTATGCGCAGAAGTCGGTATTTTGTGGAAGAGCCACACTCAAGGGGCCAAAGAGCTGCATGTGGCGAGCCGCAGTTTGCCGACCACTGCTAGACAATCTAGTATAGCACATGATCTCTCCCAATATACTCTGGGCCAATTAGCTGATAAATTCCTAGTGAGTTATAAATGGTTGATGAAGGTGACACAACTTACCTTATGCGAAGAATGAAGAGTACTGGAAATGGAACTACCTAGCTAAATATGTAAATTTTTATAATTATTATCACTTATATCTCTTTAAGTTACTTAGTTTGTCTTTCCTTTAAAATTTCAAGTTAAATTGAGCTTCCCTTAAATTTCAAGTTAAATTGAGCTTTACTTTGTTCCATATGACTTCAAGGTCATCATAACTCATTCTGAAAAGCATGAAATCTACATATAAGGTTCTAAATTATGTAATAATCACTTACCTTTCAAAATATAGGGAGACTGGGCAACATGTTCATCACCATAAAGGACCTCTATCTTCAGCCCTTCATTGGCAGATTCATACATCCTATACCTGATCAAAAATGTTCCATCGTTCCTGTCCAAAGGTTTTGGGACATGAATCCGGACTAACTCTTTAGGTGAAAGAGATTTGATTACTACTTTAAATTGTGCTTGACCTGAAAGAAAAAAATATATAAATAACTCCACTACTTCAAAGTCGCTTTGTTGTAACAATTAGTGGATAGCTGTCTCTACACAGGAGTTTCTAATTTTTCTACTATTAATGGTAAAAAAATCATTTTAGTTTGAAAGATCCTTGAGGCCATAAACTATTCTGGTTTATGTCTTCAAATCAGGGACCTGACTCAACATTGATTCATTAGTCATTCACATAAAGATTTATTGCATGAACAAAATTACTTCATAAAAAAGCAAGGAAGAGGTGAACTTTTTGCCTATTTGATCTTTTCTCTTTTGGGTAGGTAAAAGCCCAGGTAGTTAAAAGTCTGGGAATCATAAAATAACAGAACTTGAAGGCAATCCAACTTTTCCTTTTAAGACATACACAAGCTTTCTTTGTAAAGCATTTTAATATCAAATAACCCTCATTTCTGAGGATGTTTCCTTTTGCTAACCCAAATTTCAAGCTGTACATCTAAGCCCATTTCTTTAAGTAGAGAGAGATTTTAGAGAGTTACACGACCATACACAAATACACACATGTGCGCGTGCGCGTGCACGCGCACACACACACACACACACACACACACACACACACATGCTCATACACCTTTGTAACTACTAGAGTGCACTTCTCTAAGCTCGATTTCTCAGGTTGAAACAGTTACACAAGGATGATCTAATACCTCTTATAACTCCAAGACTCCATGGGTTTTCTGTTCGAGGGTAAATAATACCTACTTAGAAACCCCCTTCTCTTTTGGCAGGAGATAGCTGACTTTAGGTTTTGACATACAGTGGCTGTGATTAACATTACTGTGGCACAGGTATGAACGTTGAGACCTTTTTCTTCAGAGAGGGCAGAGGATGTATTTGACTTCAGTGCAGATCTGATACTCAGAAGCTTTAAGAATCAAGATCTGCCCTGGCTGGTTTGCTCAGTGGTTAGGGCACTGACCTGTGGACTGAAAGGTTGTGGGTTCGATTCCAGGTGAAGGGCATGTACCTCCGTTGCAGGTTCAATCGCTCAAGTAGGAAAACAACCAATAGATGTGTCTCTCTCATGTCAATGTTCCTCTCTCTCCCCTTCCTCTCTTTCCCTTTCACTCTCTCTAAATCAATGGGGAAAATATCCTCAGGTGAGGATTAAAAAAAATAAATAAGTAAAGATCAATTAGTGTCCTAACCACAGTTAATCATATTTAAAAAGTGGTGAATCCTCTGAAATCCACAGCCTAACAAACAATAAGTTGTGACCAAAGTATTCTTTTATCTCATATCCCTCACTGTGAAATTAAGCATATTTAATACAGGGGTGGGAAAAAGTAGGTTTATAGTTGTTCATAACAAATAATACAATAATCCTATCTAATAAAAGAGAAACATGGTAATTGGCGTACGACCGCTACCCTTCCCATTGGCTAATCAGGGCAATATGCAAATTAACTGTCAGCCAAGATGGCGGCCGACAGCCAGGCAGCTTGAAACTAACATGAGGCTTGCTTGCTTCAGTGTCGGAGGACTCCAATGTTCCCCGCCTGCTGCTGCAGGCCTCTGAGCTGCAAGCAACTATGTAACAAACATAGAAGCTAAACAAAACCCCAGAAACCTGCCGGGCTGCAGCCAGCAGGATCGCAACATTGTAAGCAAAGGCCAGAAACCTACTTTCAGCAGCGGAGGCCTAAGAGCTGGAGCCAAGCCTCAAAGCTAAAGCTGGCCCAGAATAAAAAAAGAAAAAAAGAAAAAAAGAAAAAAAGGAGCGGTTGGGAGCTTCAGTCACCCCCAGCCTGAAAACAGCCCTCAGCCCCTCACCCAGACTGGCCAGGCACCCCAGTGGGGACCCCCACACTGAAGGGTGTGTGACCAGCTGCAAACAGCCATCATCCCCTCACCCAGGCTGGCCAGGCACCCCAGTGGGGACCCCCACCCTGATCCAGGACACCCTTCAGGGCAAACCAGCCGGCACCCACCCATGCACCAGGCCTCTACCCTATATAGTAAAAGGGTAATATGCCTCCCAGCACCGGGATCAGCAGAGCCGCAAGGCCTCCTAGCACCGGGATCAGCGTGACAGGGGGCAGCACCCAAACCCCCTGATCGGCCCTGCTCTATGTGTGACAGGGTGCGGCGCCCCAACCTCCCCCCCCCCCCCCCCACGGGCCCTGCTCTGTGTGTGACGGGGTAGAGCCATAACCTCCCCATCAGCCCTGCCCTGAGTGTGAGAGTGGCAGCGCCCCAACCCCCTGATCGGCCCTGTTCTGTGGGTGATAGAGGGCGGCGCCCCAACCCCCTGATGGGCCCTGCTCTGTGCGTGACAGGGTACAGAGCCCCAACCCCCCTGATGGGCCCTGCTCTGTGAATGACGGGGGAAATGCCCCAACCCCCTGATTGGCCCTGCTCTGTGCATGACGGGGTGGCGCCACAACCTCCCCATCGACCCTGCCTTGAGTGTCACAGGGGATGGTGCCCCAACCCCCCAATCGGCCCTACCCTGAGCGTGACTGAGGGTGGAGTCACAACCTCCCGATCGCCCTGATCTGTGTATGACAGGGGGCAGCGCCCCAACTCCCCAATCGGCCCTGCTCTGAGCCCGACCAGGGGCTGCACCTAGGGATTGGGCCTGCCCTCTGCCACCTGGGAGCAGGCCTAAGCCAGCAGGTCATTATCTCCCGAGGGGTCCCAGACTGTGAGAGGGCACAGGCCGGGCTGAGGGACCCCCCCTCCCCTCCCGAGTGCACAAATTTTTGTGCACCAGGCCTCTAGTAAATAAATAATAAAAAATAACTTATACGTTTCACAAACTCCCCACTGCAAACCAACTTTTGCCCACCTTTGTATATATTTTTTAAATTACTGAAAAAGTTTGTATCTCCTCTTTTTAGTTTCTAAATGTAGCAAGTGACTTTTCTATTTTCTTTTGGTCTTCACCAGTTTTATGTTTTTTTCTTGTGGGTCAGGAGAAATGTTTCTCAGTCTCTTTGATTTAGTAACAGTAATGTTGTATCTGACATCTTGCTATTAAATAATTACGTACCAAGCACATACATTTTTAGATATTTGAGATAAATGTGACAAAATTATGACGGACATTTGCCAGAAGAAATGACCTATAATAGATAAATATAGGGGGTGGTTGTAAAAGAAAGGTAATAATATAATGTGAAATTATTTAAAATGTTGGCCGGTTAGCTGAGATGCTTAATGAAACACATTAGCTTTTGATTTGTGTTATTTTCCACTTAGTTCCAGAAAGGCAAGAAGACTGAAAACCAGGAAGGCAGAGCCTGGGGACCAGAGAGCCATTTCCATGATTCCCTCCCAGACTAGAAACAGGACAGAAGTTTTCTTGTCTCCTGACTAGATAGTCCTGCTCTCCATAAATTTATGATTTTAATAAACAAAACAAATAGAAGACAAGCATAGTAATGACTGTGTGATTTTTTTGGCTACTTTTGTAGGAATCCTTCATGCCTCTGTCATTGTTGGCATGAAACTAATGTTAGATTCAATGCAAAATAATAATGACCAAATAGAAATAAGCAATTCCAATCTCATAAAAGAGAAAATGAGAAGAATGTAATTGCAAATTGCTTCAAAAGGACCAAATGTGGATTCTCATTTGCCCTGTGGCTAATATAATGGAACAGAACTGAAGCTCAGCTTGAGTTTTTCTGCTCCACAAATTCAAAAGCTAATAAATTGAGAATGCAGTGACTGTGTAGACAAAAAGAGGTTGCCAGTATCAAAGTCTTACATCATTAGAATCAGAAATTCTGAAGACTTTTGAGTTGAAAGAAATAAAAAACATTAAAAAAAAATCACCTAACCAGTCCATGAGCTTGAGGTTTTCACATGCATTGTCTACCTTATTTATTTATTTTTTTAAAAAATTTTTAATTTATCTCAGAGAGGAAGGAAGAAGGAGGGAGGGGAAGAGAGAGAGAGAGAGAGAGAGAGAGAGAGAGAGAGAGAGAGAGAGAGAAAGAGAGAGAGAGAGAAAGAAAGAAACATCAATGATGAGAGAGAATCATTGATTGGCTGCCTCCTGCATGCTCCCTACTGGGGATCGAGCCTGCAACCCGGGCATGTGCCCTTGACCAGAATCGAACCCGGGACCCTTCAGTGTTCCTGTATATGCCGACAGCTCCTTCCTTCAGTCTGCAGGCCAATGCTCTATCCACTGAGCCAAACTGGCTAGGGCTACCTTATTTTTTTCTACAAGAACTTGTTAAGTAGGTATTGTCACCGTCATTTTACAGACCAGGAAACCAAGGCTCCCTGAAAGAAGTTACGTAACTCACCCAAGGTCACACGCATAGGAGTAATTGAGCCAGTGTTTGAACACAGCTTGGATGGATCCTTCTTCTTTCAAAGCCCATCCTGAATCCACCTGGTCACACGTGTAATGTTAGCATACGGGTTCCCGGAATTCAAAGTTGGAGGAATGACCTCTGGCACTCCTGGTTGAATGGAGCTATCGCCAGCCCCCAACCCCATTGTTCAGGAAGTTTATTAAGGGTCTCAGCAGCTGCAACAAAAGTGTTGAGCCACATGACCAAGGGAACAGAGTCCCAGAAGGCCAACTGGCTTTGCCTTGAGGCTGCATGGAAGCCTCCAAAAGCGCCTGGCTGCCTGCAGACCACGCACCGGCAATTCTATTATGGTGATTTGGTTAAAGGGAAAGTGCACTGAACTAGGTATCCCACAGCTGGCTCTGACATTTAGTAGCTGTGGGGCCATGGGCAAGGCATTTTAGCTTCACTGATCCTCGGTTTCTTATATGTAAAGTGAAAAGACTATCCTTCCTGTATCACGAGACAATTTAGGAGAACAAATTAAATAAAGCAAGTTTAAAAAGTAAAGTGCTACACAACTAGGAGGTAAGACTATTTTATAGTGATGTCATCCCTGATGAAGACAGGAGGGGACTGAGTAGAAAATGAATACAGTTGACCTTTGAACTACATGAGCTTGAACAGCATGAGTCCACGTATACGCGGATTTTTTTTCAATAAATACACAATTGGGCCCCCATTTCCCTAGGTTTCACCTCTGTGATTCAACCAACCACAGACTGAAAACAGTATTTTTGATCTGTGGTTGGGAATTCATGGATGTGGAGGGCTAACTGTATGCATTGTTTTACGCCATTTTACATAAGGAATTCGAGCACCTGTGAAATTTGATATCTGTGAGTGTCCTGGAACCAATCCCCTATGACATGGAAAAACACTATAATTATGTTTTGGGGTAGTCAAAAGTTATACGTGGATTTTCGACAGCACCTATAACTCCCACCTTGTTCAAGGGTCAAACGCACTTGTATTCTACCATCTTGCATATTCTAACCACCCTCCCTCTACCCCAGTGGTTCTCAACCTTCCTAATGCCGCGACCCTTCAATACAGTTTCTCATGTTGTGGTGACCCCCAACCATAAAATTATTTTTGTTGCTACTTCATAACTGTAATTTTGCTACTGTTATGAATTGTAATGTAAATATCTGATATGCTATATGTGTTTTCCGATGGTTGCAGCCCACAGGTTGAGAACCCCTGCTCTACCCCTTCTTTCTTTTCTTCTACAATATTTACTGAGAATCTCTGCCGGACATTGTGCTAAATGCTTGGAATACAAAAATACCAATAGGTTCTGCCTATATTCATAATAGAAGGAAATACTCAGTTTAAGTCAGAAGTTAGAGAAATCAAGATATAGATAGGTCCTTTTCCCCGTCCAAGGTCTTAGACCCCCTAATTTCTGTCTGGGGACTCCAGTTGAGATCTCCAGATTTAGACCACTCAAGTTCACAACATGTTTGCTATCTCTGTACTTGAAGATATGCCACATAACAATGGTATTCAGATACTATTAAGTGAGAGTGATAATTACAGTAATAAGGGAATCTGGGTTAGTCATGTAAGACAATCTAGAGCTTGTGGAAATATTGCCTCTTTTCCAATTAGTTCTGGGAGAAGAAAAAATTTCAGAACTTACAAATGAATGACGGTGGCAGGAGATGTGAGAAACTAGTGGGTTTGTTTTTCAGACTATAGGACAGCCTTTTGAATGGAAGGTAGGAATCAAGTGGCAGGAAAGGAAACAAGTGGAGTCTAAGGGAATGAAAGTGAGGTTGTCTGAAGACTTGGTGAAAGTCTTTTTTTTTTTTCTTAAAACTTTTTCCTGACTAAAAATACAATATAACCATTTTCGGGGAAAATTTTCTTGAAAATTTCCTTACTCTCTTGCTATAACCACTGATGACACTAATGAGTGAGGTACAGGTTAATTTACTGATTACAAAATTAGAATGAAACTACATAGTTTGTTTCCTGTTCATTCCAGCCTTAACAAATATAAACATCCTATATAATAAAAGGCTAATATGCAAATAGGCCAAATGGCAGAACAACCAGAACAACCGAACAACCGAACCAGTCACTATGACATGCACTGACCACCAGGGGGGTGCGTGGAACATGGCGGGCATCGGCCGCGGCAGGATGGTGGAGCAGGTGAGCAGGGGCTCCAGACCAAGGCGGGGAGCCAGTCGCTGCCATCGGGGCGAGCCTCTGGTGGTTACTGAAAATTCTTTGCTCCCGCACACCACGGTCCTGCCTGGTGCTAGCACCTGCTGCCAGCGCCAGGTCCGCTCGCACCTGCAGCTGGTGCCGGAGCCGCCACTCTCACCAGCTGCCGGTGCCAGGCACCAGTCCTGATTGCTCGGCACCATCAGCGGGTGCGAGCAGCGGCTGCCAGCCCTGACTGCCCCTGAGGGCTTCTCCATCTCCCCCTGTTCTTGAGGGCAATTGGGACAGCAGCTGTCGTGTGCACCCACTGACGGTGCGGGCCCTGCTCGCACCTGCTGCTGGTGCTGGCCCCAATCACTTGGCAGTGGTGGGAGCAGGGCTGCCAACAGACAGGCGACTGGGACCTGTGGTGGCATGGGCTAGGCTGGGGCACAGAGAATGGGCCAAGACCCACCCCTGTGCCTACCACAGCCTCGAGGCCCACAGTTCTTTTCAAGGTGAACGAATTCGTGCACTGGGTCCCTAGTTATTAAATAATCCTATATAATAAAAGGCTAATATGCAAATCGACCAAATGGTGGAACAACTGGTCACTGTGATGTGCACTGACCACCATGGGGCAGATGCTCAACGCAGGAGCTGTCCCCTGGTGGTCAGTGCACTCCCACAGGGGGAGTGTTGCTCAGCCAGAAGCCGGGCTCATAGCTGGCAAGTGCAGCGGTGGTGGCGGGAGCCTCTCCTGCCTCCAGGACATCCCCCAAGGGCTCCCGGACTGCAAGAGGGTGCAGGCCGGGCTGATTCCCCACCCCCCACCCCCCAAGTGCACGAATTTGGTGCACTGGGCCTCTAGTCTTTTAATAAGTTACTTCAAATTTTTTAAAAATTGTGAAAAAAAAGTAACAGAAATTTGACCATCTTAACTACTTAAAAATTTTTTTTGGTTAATCCTCACCTGAGGATATTTTTCCCATTGATTTTTAGAGAGAGTGGAAGGGAGGGCGGGAGAGGGGGAGAGAGAGAGAGAGAACCATCAATGTGAGAGAGACACATTGATCGGTTGCCTCTAGTACATGCCCTGACCAGGGCCTGGGATCAAACCTGCAACCCAGATATGTGCCCTTAACCAGGAATCGAACCTGAGACCCCTCCTTGTGTGGGCTGATGGAGCACACCAGCCAGGGTTTAACCAATTTGTTAATCCTCATCGGAGTGTATGTTTATTGATTTTAGAGAGAGAGGAAAGAGGGGGGAGGGGAGAGAGAAACATCAGTTGGTTGTTCCTGTACTCGCCCTGACTTGGAGGTCGAACTGGCAATCTAGGTATGTGCCCTGACCAGGAATCAAACCCACAACCTTTTGGTGTAGCTAAGGATGCTCCAACCAACTGAGCTACCCAGCCAGTGTAACCATTTAATTGTATAGCTCAGTAGCATTAAATATATGCACATTGTTGTGCAACAAATCTCAAGACCTTTTTCAAACTGAAACTCTATACGAACTCAACAACTTCCCATTTCCCTCTTCCAACAGCCCTTTGGCAAAACATTACTTTTAATGGCTGTCAAATATCCCATCACATGCAGGTACCATACTTTATTTAGCAATTACCTTATAGTTGGCTACTTAAACTTACAATAATAATAATAAAAAAAAATAAACTTACTATAATAAACAATTATAATGCTGCAAGACTATCCTTGCATATAAAAATCTTTTATTATATTCTGATCATTATCTCAGGACAGATACCTAGGAACCAGACCACCAGATTAAAGGCCAAAGGCATTTTTTTGTAAGGTACATTTACAAATGACATTTTCTAACTGTTGAAAATCATTTTTTTTTTTTTTTTGGTACATTAGGTTTGTAAATGTTTAAGAATTGCTACATTTGGACAATTACTTTCCAGAAATGCTTGGCCAATTTGGGCTCCATTAGCAGAGGATGAAGGTCACTGAGTAACTCATTGCTCCCTTAACAGTTTTGAGTATTACTACTTTTAAAAAATTGCCAATATTTTTAGAAGAAGAAATGGAATTTTATTTGAATTTACAGCTCTTTCATTAATAGTAAGATCAGCAGTATTTCATTTTGGATCATGTAATTTTTCTTTTTTTCATGTAGAAATTATTTTTTTTAGTTTTCCACCTTCTTTTCTTTCCACCACCTTAGAGCATAATAAAATTAGTTTTAGAAAATGAAGAAACTATAAGGAAGAAAAATACACCGCATAGTGAAGGACTTTGAATCTGGGTTTAAGAATATTGTCTTCTGATCCTTAGGCCCGTGGAAAGTCTTTCTAAAACTAAGTAGTCATCGTTTTCCACTGGCAGGGGAAGGAGAGGCACTGAATAATTTTGATTGATTCTTTGTTGATCAAACAGGGTGCCAGTTGGCTGAACATAAATTTGAGACACAAATTAACAAATCCTGACTGGTAACCGCTTGAAACCAGCAGGACTAGTTGTAATAAGTTGCAAAGGTACATGGGAAGGAGAACGTGGGAGGACAGCTGGGCACAGGGATTCAGGGCAAGATCCACCCTCGGGAGAGGGAACACCTCATGAGTTGTACTGAGTTTCTCCAACTCCTGCCATCTGCTTTCAAGAACTCAGAACTGTAGGAAAGCCAAAATCTAGCAGGCAAAACCGCCTTCTTCCTGCCTGCTGATCTGACAGTCATTCCCTTAGTGTAGGAGTTAACTGTCTCTCACCCCATCGGGCCCCAGCAGTGTGAGCCCAGCGATTCGTGGGCTTGATGACTCACTACTTGAAGGCGCTCCTCCCTACGAGCTGAAGCAGTTGGGACTCATCAGAGGTCTCCGGTGTGTCACTAACGTATCTTCCTGCGTTAACACCTCGGGCGCCGCGCACTCGGAACGTCAGTCCCAGCGCGTTAACGGAGAAAGGGCCCTCAGGGTTCATTCATTCATTCATTCATTCAACTGCGACCTTCCCCCTTTGTGGACCTAGGCGGAGGGAAACGGCTGTGACCAGACCGAGGAAGGGCGACGCGCCAGGGGAGGGGCGCCACGCAGGCGGCGGGCGGACTCCCGAGGGGCGCGGGCGCGGCGGGGGCGCGGCGGGGGACGCAGGGGAGCGGGCGGCGGGGCGAGGGAGGCCCGCGGTGGACGCTACCTGCGGGCGAGCGAGTGAGGTTGTGGCCCTCGGAGCTGACGGCCTGCAGGTAGAAATAGCGGACGGGCAGGACGACGCCCGCCTGCAGCCCGGGGCCCCACACCAGGCTCCGCGGCGCGCTGACCGGCGCCTCGGGGGCCCCCGCGGCCGCGAGCAGGGCGAGCTGCAGCGACAGCAGCAGGGCCCGCGGGAGGCGGCCCATGGTCCCGGGCCGCTGGGTCCAGCTCGGCGGCGGCGGGGAGGGGCGGGGCGGGGAGCGCCGCGAGCGGAGGCGGGCACTGGCGGGGCGGGCACACCCCGGGCGGGGCTGCGCCTGGGCTCCGCCAGCCCGCCCCCGGTTCTCTGCGGGCGGCCACGCGGGGGCGCGGGGTGGTCGTGGGCCTTGCGCACTGAAGAGGGTGGGCGATGGGCCGGTCCCCCTGTCCCCCCCAAGCCTACTCGGCCGCGTGGAGAGCCGGGATCGTAGGTCTGGCAAAGAGAGACCGAGGATCAGAGTAGCACCCTTGATCGTCAAGGCCTTGGCGCGCCGGGCCTCACCTGTTGCTTGAATTTGTCAGCTGTTTAGAGGAAAATGGATTTTTTTTAAAGGAGGCAACCTCTGCGGTGACTGCCGAGGGTTGGCGGGGGAGGGAATGAAAGACCCAGCAGGGAAGAATTTTATATCGTTTAGGGGAAATGCCTTTAGACAGGGAATTTCACTGGTTGTGTCTGCATGTTTTAAGTTGAAAGCTTCCCTCTGCTCTAGCTAGCACCTAAAATAAAATAAAAAGAAATTTGAAACATTTTGTTCACTTTCTTCCAAAAATCAAACTTTGAAAAAAATTTTCCAGAGAAAGAATCTGAGGGTTAGCTGGTACTGGATAATAAAATATGGCCTAATGAATTATGTAACACATGTGGTAACACCCAGTTTTATTAAGAACATGTCAAAGAAGCCATATAATTGTATCTGAGCACTCCTTTAGCAATACTGCATCTGTACCAACCTGTTTTCTTTCTTAATCCATATCTTTAAAAGCGGATCTCGCTTCAGATCAACAGATGTCTCGGCCAGATTCTTTATCATAAATCAAATTGAATTTACTCAACAAGCATTCATTCAACTGTCTACTATGTTTTAGACATTATACTTTGACTTCAAAGCTCCTGTGGTTTAGTGGACAAGAAAGAGAGGCAGTGTAAATAGTGTAATGGCTGCTAAAATATGGGTGCCAGGAGCTGCGTGGGGTCTGGGATTTCAGCCTACCTTCAAGCTCACAAGTTAGTCTTTATTGTTCCATGGACACTGCAAAAGACACAGACCCCTGGGTCAGAGACCGAGCTTCATTAGTCACTGCAAAAGCAGCAGCCAGAGCTTCATGGTGGTTTGTGCTGGATCTCCATGACCCCTGTTATGGGCTGAATTGTATTCCTCCGAAATTTGTTTATTGAAGCACTAACTCCCGAACCTCAGAATTTAACTGTATTTGAAGATAGGGCCTTCAAAGAGACGATCTATTTAAAATAGGCACTGGGGCAGGCCCTAATCTCATCGAACTGGTGTCCTTATAAGAAGAGGAAATTTGGGCACACACAGAGACGTCAGAAGAGTTTGGGCATAGACGAAAGACCATGTAAGGATGCAGTGAGAAGGCAGCCATCCGCAATCCAAGGAGAGAGGCCTGAGAAGAAACCAGACCTGTAGACGACTTGATCTTGGATTTCAGCCTCCGGAACTGTGAGAAAATAAATTTTGTTGTTTAAGCCACCCAGTCTACAGTCTATTTTGTTATGGCAGCTCTAGAAAACTAATATACCACCCCCGCCCCCTCACCCCACCCCACCAGATCCAGTGGGGACAATGCAAAAGGCCTATCATGGATGCCTGCATTGCAAGAGAAGCACATGGAATTTAGAGGATTACTGCTTTTAGAGTAAGGTGAATTAAGCCTGCTCTGTGTAGGTACGGAGATGTTATCTCCTCCTTCAAGGTGGCTTGCTGCAAACACTTGACAATTGGCAGGGGTAAAGAGTGGTCAAGGACATTCTTTTAAAAAATATATATTTTTATTGATTTCAGAGAGGAATGGAGAGATAGAAACATCAATGATGAGAGAGAATCATTGATCGGCTGCCTCCTGCACACCCTACACTGGGGCTCAAGCTTGCAACCCATGTATATGCCCTGACCAGGAATCGAACCGTGACCTCCTGGTTCATAGGTTGACACTCAACCACTGAGCCATGCCAGCTGGGCAGGACGTTCATTCTTGGCATACTCATCAAAAACACTCAGAGATGTCAGGGCCCATGGCAAACTGCCTTTCCCAATATTAGTGCGTCATATGAAGGCCAGTTAACCTAATCTTGGTGGAATTCAGACAGGCTTTCTGAAAGAGATCATGCCCATGCTTAAACATGAAAATCATGGAAGAGGGGGAGAAGGTCTTTTCTGGCAATAGAAAAGTCACACTACCCAGTTTTGCTTCAGTGGTTAGGCAGGGGTGGGCAAACTTTTTGACTCGAGGGCAACAATGGGTTCTTAAACTGGACCGGAGGGCCGAAACAAAAGCATGGATGGAGCGTTTGTGTGAACTAATACATGTTAACACTGCTGCTGGTGAAGGAGCGGAGGGGAGAGCAAGAGAACCCTCTGCTCTTTTGGCTCCGCGGGCCGGATAGAACAGCTGAACGGGCCGGATCCGGCCCACGGGCCGTAGTTTGCCCACGGCTGGGTTAGAGCATTGGGACTGAAGGGTCTCAGGTCAATACCAGTCAAGGGCATGTACCTCAGTTGCAGGCTCCATCCCCAGCCCCTAGTGGGCAGAAGGCAACCAATCAATGTGTTTTTCTCACGTCAATGTTTCTCTCTCCCCCTCCTCCTCCTCCTCCTCCTCCTCTTCCTCTTCCTCAATTCCACTCTTTCTAAAAATCAATGGGGGAAAAATAATCTCGAAGTAAATGATAGACTTCAAGAAGTTTCTATTCCCTTTGACGTTCATCTCTATATTGAGCTCCAATCTCAGACACATGGAATTATGGTCTATGTGAGACTCTGGAAGGCCTATATATTCAGTATACTTTTATGTATTGCACTGGCGCCTGGAATTGTCACATTAAAGCTATGTAAACTTCACAGCTATTGATTGTCCACACAGATCATAGCATTTCTACCCCCTTCTAGTAACTACTTCTCTCTCTCTCTCTTTCTCTCTCCCCCCCCCCCCCCCAATCGACAGTTAACAATGAGGCTTTATAAAATATCACCTTAACCCATGGATGGCCACAATTGATTGGCCCATAGTTTGGAACCTGCCTCTTGCTGGACTAATCAGAACCTTTTCTTTGGGAATTTAAAAATCAGAGTTAAGGGATTTCAATTTGTAACTGACGGTTCTCTTAAACAGAGGCAATGTAAACATTACCATTTTTTGCCTTGTAGATGAAATGGAGGAGAAAACTTAGAGAGTTTTCTGTATAGTGCACCATACGGGCTTGGTACAGTTCATAAGTGGCATCTCCACCCTTGGTTTTAGGGATAACTCTGTTTCTTATGATAAATTCCTCCTTTGACATTAGAGAACTGTCTCATTTTCAATATCATTAATTAATAAAAAAAAAACTTACATGGGCTTAGGCAAGCTTAGATCCCATAAAATGCATAAATATTTAATTATTTTAATAATATCTATTCAGCATGCAATTTGTCATGTATTCTATAAGATACTGGGGATATAAACTTGTATTTATTATAGTTCCTAGAGTGAATTGTAATGGCTAGATATTTGGTTTAAATATTGCATTCAGAATCTCATAGAATAGGTATACTTCCTCTTAAAACACAGTTGCTGGAAGAACCAAGATGGTGGCATAAAATGCCTATACTCGCTGCCTCCCACAACCACATCAAAATTACAACTAAAATATAGATCACCCATCATCCAGAACCATGGAAAGCTGGCTGAATGGAAGTCCTGCAGCTAGAGAAGTAAAGAAGAAAGCACACTGAGACTGGTAGGAAGGACAGATGTGCGGAACAGACTGGACTGGCACCCTTGTGTGCTGCTTTTTTATTGGGAGGAAGATCATCTCTGTGGAGGCCACCCGGAGGAGCAAGGGGTCCCAGCTCCATACCAGACCCCCAGCCCAGGCTCTCAGAGCTGGGAAAAGAAGTCCCCATAACTACAGGCTGTAAAAACCAGTGCAGACTGGGGCTCAGTGACACAGAGGCTGTTGGAGACCCAGAGGTTCCTCTTAAAGAGCTAACACATGAACCGAACTTACAAGGTTCTGCTTCCTCTGAGCGCCAGTGCCAAGGTAAGGCTCTGGGGGACACAGACACATGCAAGGAAGAACTGGATTATTTGGCATCAGGGCAGGAACTTGAGGGTGACTTTCTCCCAGACGGAGGTACTCACAGGGGTCATTGTTCCTATGCTGGGACCTCCCTGGTTGCAGGGCTGACTGGCAGTCATTTCTGTTTGCTTCACCCTGGTGATTCCCTGAGACCCTGCCCTATCCAATTCACAACTCCACCCAACCTGTGTTTAGTGACTTTTGCATATGAATGGCCTGTCTTTGCTTAGGCTTCACACTTCGCTAAAATCTCTCAAACAAGCTGCAGCTGGGTCAGGGAGTCTCAAACCTCTCTATAAAAGGTCCATTTTAGCCCAGATCAGCTGCTACTGCTCATTGCTGCCCTGGTTGCAAGTCTCATAGGGTCCCTTAGCAGCGGTTCTCAACCTGTGTGTCACGACCCCTTTGGTGGTTGAACGGCCCTTTCACAGGGGGTGCCTAAGACCATCCTGCATATCAGATATTTACATTACAATTCATAACAGTAGCAACATTACAGTTATGAAGTAGCAAAAAAAATAATTTTATGGTTGGGTTACAACATGAGGAACTGTATTTAAAGGGCCAGAAGGTTAAGAACCACTGCCTTAGAGGTTGGGGGAAACGTGCTTGGGGGGGGAAGGGCAGGGGGAATGGCATGGGTGTGCTCCTTGAAGGGAGAGTGTACCCTGGGTCCTCTGTCCTGAGCACATTTATCTTTCTTTCAGGTGGAAATCTTAGGGGAGGTCTTATGGGAGGCTCTTAAAAGACTATTCATCAGTTTTCCAGGTGTGCTCTTTCAGGGTCGTGTTCTCCATTGATTGGTCACTGCCAGGGCAGGGGGTCATTAGTCAATGCAGCTGGTCCTAAGGCAGCCAGGGTGTCACTTGCCTGGTTTTGCTGCTTTTGGGCCTGGAGCTGAAATGCAAC